CTATGGACCTGTTTCAATTATTAAGCCGTTTTAGATCAATATTAGAATTCAAAATGACCAAAACATATAGTAATGACCTATGTGTGTTATATTTGAAAACTAAATACCCCAGGAAATGCATTATTATGTTTTTATGTCTTATCCGCTTTTTACTACAAGGAACTCAATACTATAGTACATTTGGTTTGTTTAAGTTTCATTCTGTTATTAAGTCTTTAAACAAAACATGACCATTTCCAAATCAGCACTGCAAATTGTGTTAAATGTTAGTTTTTGTTATTACAATTTTGCAGTGTAACTCTATTATCAAGTAAAAAAATATAATAATCCAGCTGAAGAAATCGAAATGTCTGAAGATCTTAAAGTGTGACAGTCGTGCTTCGAGGCTAACACATGTAAAACAACCACATGAGAAGCAGTTTTCTACGTAAAAACATGGTAAAAACGTGACATTCGTCGGAGAAGCCTGCAGGGGGCGTCATGCAGCGTTCCATTCAGACGTACACTTTCTGTAGCTGTAACTGTACACGAGTGAGAGCGGTGAGCACAGAGCAGGAGATGGGGAGAGTTCTTTTCACACATTTGACAGTGTTTTTGCTCTCTGTCAGGAAGTATTAGAGGAAAAAGGTCGGCTTGTGTTTGCGATATGTTTAAATCAAATAATAAATAAAAGATTCTGTTCAGAGTGCACATTGTTAACAACTCCCAAAGTGTTAACTGAAGTGAATAACAAGTCTAAACTACAAGTACTGGTGGAGCGTCCGTCAGCTTCTTGTTTCTATAGATACAAATATATTTCCCTTCTTTGAATGTTCCACAGTGTGACATTAAATAAATCTACTTTACATTCATTCTATTAAAAGTTGTTTTATAGCTCAAAATACCTAGAAAAACAAACATTGTTACTGTGAGTGGGGTTGCCTCTCCACAGATCTGACCTGTAGCTTGGTCTGATTTGGTCTCCATGATGATAGAAGCATTAATGCCATACTGTGAAACATTTCAGACAAAGCAATTGAGGATTTGCGTGTGATGTGGCAGTCATGTGATTTAATGTTTTGGCGGTCATGCTGGAGGTCAGGATTTGGGTTGATCCGGACGGTGTTATTCAGTTTATTTCAAGATGATCATGTCGACTTTAAACAGCGCAAACGACATAAAACTGTCCAAAATCTCCAGCTCGTTAGATCAGCGTCATTAGAAAAGTATAAAGCTAAAGTCGTCCTCCTGGGTTGTGGAATAGATCCTGATCTAAATCCGATGGACGCTTTGCTAGTTTAATGAACACTCGCTCTGTGTCCAATCTCCAGTATGTGTTTTTTCATGTTAGATCTTCTTTCATATGAAATAAGCCAACGTGTTGCTTTGTCATTCACTGGCGATGGATCTACAAGAATAATGATGGGACGTCCATCCATTCATCCATTTTTTTCGCTTTACCTGGGCCGGGTAGCGGAGGCAGCAGTCTAAGCAGGGACTCCCAGACTTCCCTTTCCACACACACGTCCTCCAGCTCTTCTGGGGGTTCCCCGAGGTGTTCCCAGGCCAGCCCAGAGACACAGTCCCTCCAGTGTGTCCTGGGTCTTCCCCGGGGCCTCCTCCCTGTGGGACATGCCCAGAACACCTCCCGAGGGAGGCGTCCAGGAGGCATCCGGAACAGATGCCCGAGCCACAACTGGCTCCTCTCGACGTGAAGGAGCAGTGGCTCTACTCCGAGCTCCTCCCGTGTGACTGAGCTCCTCACCCTATCGGGAGCGCCCAGACACCTTGCGGAGGAAACTCATTTCGAGCGCTTGTATCCACGATCTCGTCCTTTCGGTCATTACCCAAAGCTCATGATCATAGGTGAGGGGAGGAACGTAGATGGTCGTATGGTCATGATGGGACGTAATCTGGTGAAAGTGGGTTATCATTCTTCATGCCTACGAGAGAAAAGCTTTTGGTATATATCATTTCATTTAGTGTAAATCCCTTCTTCGTTTGTGTGGAGCTGGTCCCTCACCAGAAATGAAATGTTGACTGCACAGACGACTGAACTCAGTGGCTCCATCCCTCTGTTTTTATGTCCACGATCTTTATCAGCCAGGATCTGACAGAAAGATACTTTGACCTCCTTCTTTTGTTATTCCTCCTTCCATTGTTATTCGATTCAAATGTTATCGCACACAAATACTACGCGTTGGTCCAAATGGATAGTTTGACTCCAATATGACGACATCAACACCAGCTCACGTGGTTTTGTGATGTAGACGCAAAACCTTAATAACATGAGAGATGGAGAAAAGCATTTGACGGACGCTCCACCAGAAAGTTACACAATGCACCTTAAAAAAAAACAACAAAAAATAAATAAGTACATCAAAAACACGACATTTGTTAAAACTTTCAATTGTGTTTTAAGTGTGCAGCCCTGTTTCAGTCATTTCAGCTCGTGTCTACATCCAGTCCTCTGTCAGTAAAAGCAGACGTTAGAGGAAGACTTTTGTGGTTTGTTTGTTTTGTGGCCACGATTCAAATCTGCAGTGTTTATGTTCAGGAATTATACGCTCAAAGCCATTTGATCTGTTTCTAATGATAAAACTGAATCCAAAATCGTGACCAGCCAATACAAAGAAAAAAGTTTTGATGTACCTTTTTTGTCATAGCTCCTGATTCTACAACGAGGCAACAAAATGCACAACATAAAGAACAATAAGAAACAGTCTAGTAAAGTAAAGTATATTTGTATCAGTAAATAAAGACGCACTATAAGCGGGAACTCACATTATGTAAAAAAATATCCGCTGTAATCAGTTTGTGTACAGGAAATCAGACCTTAGATATTTTGATTTTCATTTTTTTGATTATCTATAATGTAGGGCTGCAGGCTTTTATTCGATTAGTCAATTAATCGGTTGAATATTAGTCAACCAAAATGTATTAGACTAATCAAAGAAGTTATATGTGACAACAGCAGAACGAGAAGGTAGTGTATGGAAGATAATTTGTTCCATCAGATTTTGAATTTCAAATACCACTGAATTTCTCACTTTGATTTTTTTTACTCTGAAAAAAGATGTTTGAATTATTTTTATTCTGAATTTTAGTGGCTGAAATTTGAAGTTTACTTTCAATAAAAAAAACAACAAACAAAAAAACAAACAAACAAAACAATCACTACAGATATTTTCAAGCCCTCAAATTCAACATTTGAAATTCAGAATGGAAAAATTACACAGCAAAAATCCAAGATGCCAAGGCAGAAGCAATTGATCATGTGAGTTAGGAGGACAGAGGCTGCTTCCTATAGGCGAGTTTTAGCTGACATCATTGTTATTAAAAGCCCGCGTTGCATGCTGGGAAATATTTTGTCAGAGGCAAGAAACACGGTAGTGGTCAAACACAGTGCGTAACCTCGCGTATTTATCCCTGATAATGGTAAATTCCTGCTGCATTATCGGATGCACAAATAGAAGCACGGAAGAAGGAAAATGTCTTTTTCATATTCTGAGTGAAAAGAACCACTAACGGTGAATTAAACGACTTTCAAACATCCGCAGAGCAAACGTAGAAGATCCTAACAAACTGTGGACTCCAACAAGTTCAACAACACATCGAGACTCTTGGAGGTTTTCATCTTTTCTGCTGTGAATGGCCCAGGAGTTTCCACCAAGTCATTGTGGATATCGCCCAAGTGAATATTTGTCCAGGTAGTTGGTGATTCTGACCAGAAATTTGGTTTGGTCCACCTTTTGTCGGGGTTGAAAAGGGTGATTTGGCGTCCGTCGATGCTTATGACCAATTTCTGGTCAAATGGTCTTGGGTCCTCTGCCGTTAGAGTGGATAAATAACTGGGATCAATATTCTTTACGTGCTTTCTCATTCCGTCCGTCATGTTGAATTAGTGTTTCTTGCCGCCGACCAAAATAATTCCCAGCATGCAACGCGCGCTTTTGTCAACAATGAAACTCGCCTATTGGCTGTTCTCATCTGTGGGCGGGGTTTACACTTAAGAAATCAAAAGATGAAGTTACGATGAGGCGAATTCTGACCAATCAGATCGCTTCACTGCACCATTTCCTGTTTGTTACTAAGTTAGATCGGATCACTTTGGATCGATTGCTTCTGCCTTGGCATCTTGGATCTTTGCTGTGAATTTTACACTCTGAATTTTGACAGTTGAATTTGAGGTTTTGAAAATATTTGTGCTGAATATTTAAATGGTGATTTTTTTGTATTGAATTTTACACACTTTGAAAATGTACACAACTAAAATTCATAGTAAAAATAATTCAAACATGTTTTTCAGAGTAAAACATTTCAAAGTGAGAATTTCAACAGCATTTAAAATTCAAAATCTAATGAAACAAATTATTTTCCATAGTTGTGAGTGTGTGAGTTGAAGATTTAGTATTTTTTGGTAGATTAAACTCATGATTCTTTATATAAATACATAAATTTTTTCAACATAAATAGTAGTTTTTGCATGAGCTCCCCCTGCAGGTGTAGTTTTGTGAGTGCAGTCTGGGTCAGATACACAGAGATGGAAGTTTTTGCATTCCCCCTTTTAGAACGAGAATCCCTTTAGTCGACTACAGCCCCACTCTGCTGTATTTTTTATTGCTCTTCGCTGCTGCTTTTCTTAAATATAAGCTTTCAAAACCGTTTGGGAAGTCTTCATGGAGAAGCTGGAAGTTTGCACGTTTACAATCATCAGGACAAAGAACGCACTGGTAACCGGTCAGACTTGGCACACACTTTTTTTGTTTTCAAACCTGTGGAGAGTGTAAACGCACTATTGGAGCGAAACCAAACCGCCAGTCCTTGCGCCCCCTGCTGGCGACCACATTGGACATAGGGCCTCATTTCCTTGTGATCCAGAGTGTTGGAGACATGTGGAGACACTTTTTGAATTATTCCATCCAGTCCTTGTATTTGCAGAGGTCACTGGTGCATGTCAATGGTCATAGTTCTCCTGCCACTAAAAACAGTCTTACCCACTCCACAAAACACCCCAAACAAATCTATTATTACACCAGACTGTCCATGTGCAGGTCTGTGTTGATAGAATCATTTTAGAAGTAAAACCTAAAACCAAGGCTGTAGTACATTTGGTTCGTCTTTAAGTCTTTAAACAAAAACATGACCATTTCCAAATCAGCACTGCAAATTGTGTTAAATGTTAGTTTTTGTTATTACAATTTTCCAAAGTAACTCTCTATGATCAAGTAAAACATTTAATAACACAGATGAAGAAATAGAAATGATTGAAAAAGTGTGACACTAAACACAAACCACCCGAAACAAATCGATCTGTCGATAGAATCATTTCAGAAGTAAAACCAATCTTGCATTTGAAGGATTTGTGTGTGAGCAGCAGCAGTGAGTTGTTCTTCCTGATAGAAATCTCAGCAGCGGTGGACTGATATCACCCAAAACCTATCTTACTGGCAAAGTAAAATTTAACTGTTGCTGAGAAAATAGTCCCTCAACATGCGATGATTCATGTGATGCAAGGTTAGTTTTATTTCAAACATTATTCTATCGACACATTGACATTTAATAATGCCTCAGTTTTATATAGCGCTTTTTTGGACACTCAAAGACTTTACAGAGCATTATTCATTCACTCCAGACCTGGTCGTGGTAAACTACTACTACTACTACAGGTCCCTCTGACCACCACCATCACACACACACACACCACTTTCATACTAAGCACTGAGGGTGAAGTGTCTTGCCTAAGGACACAATGACCGTTTTTACGACTGGTGCCCCCTGGTGGCTCCTGATTTTCCCAGTGTCTCCATCCAAGTACTAACCAGACCACTGAGCTCTGCCGGGATCAGACTTTGACCAACAGGTATGGCCACATACATGGACAGTCTGGTGTAATAATAGATTTGTTTGGTGTGTTTTGTGGAGTGGGTAAGACTGTTTTTAGAGGCAGGAGAACTATGACCATTGACATGCACTAGTCTAACACCAGTGACCTCTGCAAATACAAGGACTGGATGGAAGATTTCAAAAAGTGTCTCCACACGTCTCCAACACTCTGGATCACTAGAAAATGAGGCCCTATGTCCAAAATTCTGACTGTCCCTTTAAAGGTGTAATATGTAACTTTTTCTGGCGAGGTTTCACCATCATGCTTATTTACAAGTCAGATTTATGGAGAAGCTACCCTTTTGTTGCCAACAAAATGTATGAAATTTTGCAATTAATAAACGCAAGATACACTTAAAGTTATTTGTGCATGTGTTTGTTCCTTCAATTACATGCACTTTAAATTTTAATGAAGGTAGCACGCTCTGACAGTTACTTTTTAAGTTACTCTTAGTAGTAGTAGTAGTAGTAGTAGTAGTAGTAGTAGTAGTAGTAGTAGTTTTCCCAAATATTTTCTCTTGTACCACCAATTTGAGTAAAGTTATTTTGAAGTCACATGTAATCTTTGGCTTTGTTCGTGGAACATTCTATGAAATCATGCGTTCACTTCTACATGGAGTTAAGTTGGTGTCAGATTCCCCCACCAGAAAAGTGACACAGTGCACCTTTATGTCTCCAAACGTTCAAAACTACTGACAGTGCCCCATCTTCTGCTCTGTCTGTGTTTGTGGTGAGGATGAGTTTGTGCGCAGCGTTTGCATCCCGAGCGTCTCTTACATACAAGCTTCTATTAACTCTTAGTCCCCGTGCTGTCTGTGTCTGCTCCTCTGTCCGACTCGTTGGACGGCAGCTCCTCTTGAGTCTGGCCCTGCCCCTGCGCGCCCCCGTTCGCGCACACCACGCTCCCCTCGGACTTGCTAAAGCTGAACAGTTTCCCCGGGCTAAATGTCCTGTTGGGAGACTGCGACCTCTCCTGGCTGGACGAAGGAAATGTGGAACTGGACGAGGAGCTTGGACACGCCCCCGTCGCTGTTGCCGTTGATGATGCTACCGCTGGCTCTTTCTTCACTTCTGGAGATTTTAGGAACTTCAAAAACCCCGGGAGCTTCGCCTCTCCTCCCGTGGGCGACTGGGCGGGAGACTTGGAGCCGCTGGAGGAGAACTTGCCCTGCAGCGGGATGATCTGTTTGAGTTTCATGACGTTGTTGTTGCCCAGGAGGGAGCTGGGTCTCTTGGGCTTGTCTCCGGACTTGCCCCCCGTGCTCTTGTCGTGGTGGTGGGGGTGAGAGGAGTCGTTTCGGGGGCAGTCGGGGTCGTGGGCGCGGGCTTCGGCCTGGAGTTCCGCCTGCCGTTGAAGCTCTTCCTCCTCGCGGCGTCGTCGGAGCTGCTGCTGGAAGTGCTGCTGGGCCTGGAGCTCGTGTTTCTGAGAGGAGAGAGAGGAGCAGGTCAGGACGAGAAGAAATCATTGCAAAAGAAGAACATAAAAGCATGTTGTTTGTTATTTCATTTTGGTTGCAGGCTTGCATTTCCACAAACCTCAATCGTATTTGACCTAGAGGAGGGCCTGTTTATTTCCATGTAGTTCTTTGGGTTATAATGATCCACAGTATGATGTAAAACTTATCTATCTCCATGGAGAATGTTTTAAAGTATGATTTGAACCTTGTGTTTGTTTATCTGATGATTATTTCATGAACACTGCCCCCTGCCCTTCAGGTCCTGCTTACACAGATCTATCCATGACTTTTAAAATAAAAACACATTGTGAACATTGAATATTTAAACAATATATCATAGATTAAAAACAATATTTGAATGGTCAAAATGGCACACAGTTTTATATATAAGCTTTATAAAGACAACAGCCAAATCTCAGTGGCACCACAGCTCCAGTTGTTTGTTGAAGTGTATGATGGTTTTTCATCCCTCCAAAGTAAAAAACTTAAAACATAATAAGAGAAAGAAATCTTCTGAATGGCCAAAAGTCATAATAACATCGGCTCTAAACAACAACCTGAAGCCCATGTAGTGTTATATCGTCATGGTTACCTTGAAGGCCTCTCTGCGTCGATATTCCAGCTTGGCCATCTCGTCTGCCACCCAGCCCGGGATATCCGGGATGGCCACATGGATCACGTACTTTAGCAGGATGGCAAAGTGCTGAGAGGCACAAACAAGTACAAAGTATCATGTACCATTTTTATTCACTGTCAAATCAGTGAAGCATGAGGAGCTTTCATTGTAGAAGCACTGAAAATGTGTTTTTGAAAATGTTTAAAGATAACGACACACTGTTTTGTGTTGTTTAAAAAGTCCCATACCTCGAGCAGGACAATGGAGATGATGGTCATCTCGGGGCTGAGCCATGGGAAGAGCCTCTGCAGCTGCCCACACTGACCAATCAGGTAACAGTTCACTATAATGGCGATCAGACCCATGGCCTCCATCGCTGTCTGCACACAAAAGAACAGAGCACAGCAAAGAGTACAGCAGCTCACACCAGAGGAAGGCCGGAAATGATGTTACTGGACAAATGTTACAGGATCAGTTAGATTACATAAAATATCAGGTTTAACATCTGTATATTTTTATTTTAGAGGATAGAGAACATTGCAGTTGTCATATAACACATGATTTTCACACCACAGAAAAAGGCAGCAGGTGTTTACATCTGTCTAATTCATCTGTAGCTCAGGTGGAAGCTTATTGGAGGCTCTGCTCTGTCTGAAGCCCTGTTACTTAAATTAAACTTTAATCTGACCTTTGTTTTAACATATTCTGACCAGATAGAAGTGACTCAGGTACTACAGCAGGTGAACTGATTCATGATGTTAAACAAGCCTCTGTTAAAAAACACTTAAACACCTGAAAAGTTTGAGTTTTTGGAGTTTGGTGACACAAGGCTAATGTGTGCATTGTGTCACCATGATAACTGCTGTAACCTTCCGTCATAGACATACAGGCAGAACTTCCCAGCATGATGTCACTTTTTTTGAGCAGTTTTCCCCTCCTGTGTCGTACCTGCCACTGCCCAATGTTCTCCACCCTCTGTCCGAAGGGCCTCTGGAGCCCCGTGCAGAGCTTCAGAGCGTCAGAGCGGATCTCGATGATGTTGTTGACGAGGGCGCACATGGCGGCCAATGGGAACGCCGAGGAGAACAGGACCACGTACCCAAACTGGATAAACATCTCCTGGTAGTCCTGCAGAGTGTCCTGGAAGCATACACATAAAAGATCATCAGTCAGTAGTGTGTAAAAGAGTTGGCCTGATTCATCAGACGCTTTCACTTCCTACAAACCGTTTGACCATTTGAATTGGTTCACTTGAAGGTAGGCAGGTACTTTTTATCATTTAACCAGTCGCTGCTATTTGGTCATGACGTATGTAATGCTCCGCTAACGGGGTTAACTACTATTATTATCGGATAATATATATTAACTAATATAGCTTTTCCCAAATCTCATAGGAAGAAGGACAATGACGTCTTTCCCCGTGATAAAATTCACCAAACATTTTCTTTGTTCCAGCTTTAAATCCTCAATCTCGGGAACTCTTGCCAACACAGAATGTCTGGCTCTTCGTTGATTGGCTGGTGCCCGAACTCACACTTCTGGGGGTTTTGCGAACCATCTAGTGTATTCTGATTCCTGACCTAGTCACTGGAGAGAAATTAAATTGAGTGAAGGCACTAGGTGGTTAGTCTGATTCATCAACCGGTTTCACTTCATAGAAACCGTCTAACCTCTCAGTGTTAGAATTCATCTGCTCGACGGTAGGCGGCTACATTTTTTTAATTTAACCAATCGCTGCTGTTTGGTCGTGACGTATGTAATGCACCACTAACGGGGTTAACTGGTATATTAAACTTTTCCCAAATCCTGTAGGAAGAAGAACAATAACGTCTTTCCCCTTGATAAAATTCACCAAACATTCTCTTTGTTCCAGCTTTAAATCCTCAATCTCGGGAACTCTTGCCAACACAGAATGTCTGACTCTTCGCTGATTGGCTGGTGCCCGAACCTGCACTTCTGCCGTTTTTGTGAACCGTCTAGTGTATTCTGATTCCTGACCTAGTCACTGCAGAGAAATGAAATTGAGCGGAGGCACTAGGGGAAGCCAACCTGACTATAGAAGAGTTAAGATGTTAGGAAACTGTGATAAGGTGCCTAGTCCAGTTTACTACTGTTGAAGTGAGCAGACTAGGAGAGGCACTCAACTGCACAAGGTAAGAAATAGTGTTGTTATTATTCTGAAATTTTAAACTCAATTTCAATACTATGGAATAGACTCACAACTCGATACTGATTCCGATACTATATTGATCATTTCTTTTCTATTCCCATGTGGTGTTATATCTGTGTAATCTCAGGTAGGTTCATGTTGGTCCATGTGTGTGTACTAGTCTCTGTGCTCTTCTACTTGTTCTGATACAGCTCAACATCATTCTAAAACTGTTCAGGAAATCTTCTGCTCTGTCCTGTGAATGTGACTTTTTTTTTAGTATCGATACCTGCTCAAATGTATCTAGTTTTAATATTAGTTTTAGTATCGATTAGTGTCTATATTTCGATACGTTTGACAGCCCTAGTTCAGCCCCACCTCGTACGTCTGCATGCAGCTCTCGATCTCGGCCTGGGTCAGGGTCACAGTCTTGGGTTCCTCTGGAGGGTCCATCCAGGACTTCTTCTCTCCTTTGTCGGCTGTGTTTTTCCTCTTATGACAAACTGGATCTGAGCCCTTGGACGCTGTGGCATTCTCCTTGGTCTCCTGGAGGTGGGAGAGTTCATTTTAGTAATTAACTGGCACCGAGCATTTCTTACATTTAGAGATTGGATGGCTTTGAAAGATAATATATGCACTTATGTAATGTTATGTGTACGTTTTGATTGATTGTCACAGTAGAGATCAGGAGCAGTTTTTTATGCAGTATATTTGGTTGTTTGTGGAGAATATTAGGGTACTTCAAAAACTGCATTCTTGAAAAATCCATGTGTCATTCGTTCATTTGTTTTTCAATATAAAACCAAAAATAAGAACACGAAAAAACAACTGTTTTCTTCATTATTTGTCTCCAAAACCAAAATGGAAAAAAAAAAAACAACAACAACAAAAAAAAAAAAATCAATTTGTGTTTAAATGAATAATGGAAAAAACGGATAACGGCCATTTCCCATTTACATGACTTCCATGACTGCGATGCTGAACTTCTGCTCCGAATACGAACTGAACCAGGACTGATCCAAGACTGAATCAGGTCCGGCACCAGACAAGGCACCAGAGCGGGACCAGAGCGGACTCCGAGCTTTGACTCCGAGCCTCTGAAGGGTCCGAGCCTCAGCTTTGAGCTCCGGCCCTGCTGTGGGCTCTGAACCTCCGGTCTGGTCCCGGTCTGGCCTCGGTCTCAGTCCCTCTCTGGTCCCGGTCTGGTCTCAGGCTCGGTCTGGTCCCGGTCTCAGTTCTGATCTCAGTCTTGGTCTCAGTCCCACTCTGGTCCTGGTCTGGTCCCGGTCTTAGTCCTGCTCTGGTCCCGGTCTTAGTCCTGCTCTGGTCCCGGTCTCAGTCCTGGTCTAGTTCCGGTCTGGTTCCGGACCTGGATCAGTCCTGGTTCAGTCCGGCATCGCAGTTTAAGTCACGTAAACAGGAAACGGTCATTATCTGTTTTTTCCATTTTTCATTTAAACACAAAATCAAAAAATAAAAAATGAATCGATTATCCATTTTTTAATTTTGGTTTTGGAGACAAATAATGAAGAAAACAGTAGTTTTTTCTCTTTCTTATGTTTGGTTTTATATTGAAAAATGAATGAACGAATGACACACGGATTCTTGGAAGATGCATTGTGTAACTTTTCTAGTATAAGGTCTGTCAAATGCTTTTCTCCATGGAGATGTTATTGCTTTGTCTGGAATGTTTCACAGTATGGCATTAAACCTTTCTATCTTCATGGAGACCAAACCAGACCAAGTTACAGCTCAGATCAATTACATTTAATCTTGCGACGCTAAATATAAACACATATTTCCAGTTTATTATTTACTTCACAGAGCGTTTTCCCTCTCACAATGTCACTTTTCACTGTTTTGCAGATGACATTCAAATATATCTGCCAGTGACCAGCCAGGGCTCGATCAAAGCTCTGCAGGACTGTCTCAGGGATGTACAGACCTGGCTGAGTGCAAACTTCCTGAATTTAAACCATAAAAAAAATTAGATTGTGGTGTTTGGGCAAACTAACCCACTGCTTGGGCAGGACAGTGTGATTGTTCCTCTGTCCTCCTGTTGTCTCCTGCAGTGAGGAATCTTGGGGTGATTGTGGACTCCATGTTCAAACTGGACAAGCACATTAGCTCTGTGATAAAGTCCAGCTTCTTTCAGTTGAGGCTCCTCACTAAAGTAAAGCCAGAATCTCTCACAGGCGGAGTTCGAAAGAGTGATACATGCTTTCATAACATCACGCCTGGACTATTGTAATTCTTTGTATGCTGGGTTAGACCAGTATGGAAAGCGACAACATAACAAAAAGCCACAACACACCAAAAAAAGCCACAACACACCAAAAACTACAATGTGAAAAGTAAAGGAACGGAGAAGTTGGAAACGTAAGTAAAAGTAATTTATTGTTTTATCATTATTCGTTTCACGTTGTAGTTCTTCTTCTTCACTTGCCGCTTGATCGGTTCCGTCGGAAAATTTCGGTCATTTCCGTTGTGGCTTTTTAATGTGCTAAGGCTTTTTGTTGTGTTGTTGCATTTGTATTTGTTGTGGTGTTTGCGTTTGTTGTGACCCCTCTGGGCTTCCGTAGATCAGGGCTCCTGCAGCGCTTACAACACGTCCAGAACGCTGCAGCTCGTCTGCTGACAAATACTAAGAAATGAGAACACATCACACCTGTTCTGTGTGACCTGCTCTGGCTCCTGTCTCATATCAGGTGCAGTTTAAAATGTTATTAATTGTTTTCAAATGTTTGCTCTCTATGGGTCCAGTCTGTTTGAGGGAGTTACTGCAGCCCTGTCCTCCACCCAGAGCCCTGAGATCAGCCGACCAGCTCCTGTCAGTCGAGCCCAAAACTAGACTCAAGACAAGAGGTGACAGAGACTTTCCTGTGGCAGCGCCCAGACTGTGGAACAACCTTCCTCTTCCTGTCAGATCCTCTCAGTCTGTAACACAGTTTAAGACCTCTTCTCCCTGGCATTTTGTACAAGCTCGTCAGGTTATCTTGGTGTTTTTATTGTAGTTTTCACATGTTTTCTGTATATATGTTGTTGTGGCAAAAATTATATATCACTTGAAAATAAATAATGAATCCATTTGCGAATCCCGATGAGTTTTTGGAATACAGACCAAAGTTTTTTCTTGTTACAGCAGATATGGACAGGGCCTAGTCCTGCCCTGACCACAGACCAACTGCCTCTCTCCACCAGCAGTGTGTCCCTACCACATCTTGCCCCATCTTCCAAGTCTCTCCCCAGTATCTGCCCCAGTATCTGCCCATGTATCTCCCCAGAGCATTTGAGCTCTGAGTATTTATACAGAAATACAAGTTACATATATATCAAAGCAGAGTGACTTTGGTTTCAGAGGCTAAATGAACATACAGTTGAGGACAACAAAGGGTTTCCTAAAGTAGGAGACAGTTGTGTCTGATGAACCTTTACACATGTTAATGACTGCTCTCATTTTCAGGTAGAAATCACTTTAACTTACACAAGACAGAATGAGAGAAATCTTTCCACAATCTAAGTTTCTATCACAATGTACTGTTTCTTCTGTTTTGTTGACTTGTATGTGAAGCACTTTGGTCAGCTGATGTTGTTTTAAACGTGCTATAGAAATAAACTTGAATTGAATTGTCTGGAATATTTCATAGTATGGCATTAAACCTTTCTGTCTCCATGGAGACCAAACCAGACCAAGTTACAGCTCAGATCAATTACATTTAATCCTTCAACCCTAAATAAAAACACTTATTTCCAGTTTATTATTTACTTCACAGATCTTTTTCCCTCTCACCTGAGCAGCTGCTTCTCCGTCGCTGTCGTCATCACAGCTGTCGGACATACAGGCTGCGTCCATGACCTCGTCCCCCAGAGTCGGGCTGTCCTCCCTGGGCTCGTCCTCGGCCCCGCGCCCCTCTGCTCTGGCGCTCTGGTAGTCCACTCTCTCTGTGAAGCTCACCTTTCTGTTCTTCAGCGCGTTCTCCGTCAGGTCCCACTCCTCCTCGGACAGTCTGAACCCGGCCTTCAAGTGCACACGTCACCACATCAGAGTTTAGTGTTATGGTCATTGTGAGAAAACCACCATGATTTAATGACTATTCACTAGAGAAAGGATGAGATAGAAACATGAGATTGGAGCCACGAGAATGAGACAAGATGAGATTTTAACAGAATTTCTAATATGTCAATTTCACAATTCAGTTTCCAATTTTGGGCTCACAAATTTTCATTTCTTTGATTTCATATCTTCTGACAATTTTATCTCATGAGATCTTATTGACACCATGACCAAGAGAAATACATAAAGGTTGATATGTTACACAAAACTGACTCATGTGAGCTTTTAGTCGTGTTTTAATGCTGTTACTTATTCAAAAACATGCATGTGTTTTGTTTCACTGACAAATGTTAGGTGTAATCCTGGATTATTTGGCTCTCTGCATTCCCAAAGCTCTAAATGCTCCATTCAACCTTGTGATGTCATTCATTTTAAGGTCATCAGCTATTTTTAGCCTCATTTGAACTGCTTTACTCTTCAATGCTCTAGAAAAATCTTTATTTTATTTTATTTATCTATTTTATATTTTACTTTTTGTTCATTTAAGATTGTCAGACTGAGACTGGTGCTTCAAGGACCTGATGGCATGGTGGCTGAGTGGTTAGCACTCATGCCTCACAGCAAGAAGGTTCTGTTTTAGTTGTATGTTTCTCCCCGTGTCTGGATGGGTTTCCTCCACCCAAAATGTGCTACATATGTCTCCAAGAACAGTTGATAGTCAAGGTCAGTTAATGCAATCAATCTATGAACCTGCCAGGTTCCACTGGAAATTTGCATTGATGCTACAACCTGATGTACAATACATCTCTCCTGTTAAGGTTAATGTAAAAATTGTGTGCTGTCCCTGTCTCACATAAATAAAAAAATAAATGAGGTTAAAACACTGTAGTTATAAAATGATTCTAGTGAAGGTGCATGGAGTTTAAATAACATTGCAGCACTTCCTTTATTACAACATGACATCACAAGGTGGAAGTGAGTATTTTCTCACAGCCTAAGTATTCAGGATTTGTGTGTTAAACATGTGAATGAAACAAAACAAAACACAACTCCAGCTGTGTTTGTGACAAGGAAACAACATTATAACATTAGAGAACAGCATAGTAAGGGCCCTTTAACCTAATAATCTCGACATGTCTACCTTGAGATCTCCGCGGCGCTTTGGGGCCTCGCTGTGGTTGACGCTGATGCCTCTGGGGCCCAGGAAGGAGTAGGCCGTGATGGAAGCCTGGGCCTTTCCTAGCACCAGGCGGCCGTACTTGAGTCCGATGGCCTGGAGCAGCTCCCACAGCACCTTGGGGGTGAAGACGCCCAGCTTGTTCTGCTCGTACAGGTACGGCTGCAGAACCTCCTTAATGTTCTGGAGAAACTGGCGGAAGATCAGGAGCGTGGCCAGCATCTGGGACCAGAGGACAGAGTGTGATACTGTGTGTGTGGATTTGAAGTGACTCACTAGACATGCTTCTCTGTGCTTTCACTTTACATTTCATCTGTTAGAACTTTATACAGTCTTAAAAGTAAATGTGAAAAACAGAACTAGTTTGCAGTGGTCTAAAATGTATCCTCACTTACTTTATGCATTCAGAGCATCCTAATTATTCACCACAATGACTTTATAGGCACATTTCACAACTCACATTTCACATTTCACAACTCACAACTGTTTTGACCAATTTAATCCTTGCCAACAGTAAAGAGGAACATAAATTATCATTTGTTTGCAAATGACAACAAAGCAAAAAAAAAAAAAAAAGCAGCGTCAGAAGTTCCTCAGATTATGACTGACGCAAGAATCCACAATTGTTACACGCTCCGGTCACTGTTTTATTTATACCAACCATCCCGGGGGTGTCCTAGTTTTGAATTTTGAAAATCTGCTCACCTTAGCTTTGCCATGACTGTGAAACTAACAACAACTAGCATGCTAACGTGCACTGATGATCGAACAATATAATTCTTACTGATTAGATGCAGACAGAACACGGTGGACTTATTTTGACCTCAACACTTGTACATACAATAGGCCTGTATTTGACGGCTGTTGTACTTTGTTGCTCAGTGTCTGCTTCCTGCCAAACCATTGGTGCAGGTGGACGAATCCCTTCAACAAGCTCGCTCCTGATTGGCTCTGCTATAACTGCTAGCCTCAGTTGGCTTTATTAGGCTACAGTCAAACACTGGTGACATCACACTCCCTTAATCCAATTCTATATTTATTTTAATGTTTTTTGTTGAGGGAACAATGTTAAAAGCTCAAAAAAGCCAAAACTGCATAAAAATGTTCCTTTATCTCCTGTAGATGTTAATGTTGCCGTGTGTAACTCTTCTGTTCACATCCACGTGCTGTAGTGTTGTTTGTTATTTATGTGAGAACAGATTTTAGAGACACTCCCTCCGTCCTCTGAGCACTAAAAGTTTGATGCTTCTATAAAAGGAGCAGCACCTCTTTGAGTCGCTCCATGTCCTTGAGGTAGAAGGCGATGTAAAAAAGGCTCAGGTATGAGTTGATGAATTCAAACTGCAAAAAGAAAGAGAAGAGGAGAGACAGTTTGTACATAAATGTGAGTAGAAGGATCTGATGAGAGCAGCAGGAGAGGAGGGACTCACAAAAACCATCTTGATGATAAGATTGTTCTCGTAGGCACTCTGGAGTCTGTAGTTCTCTGCAAGAAACACAAGACAATGAAAAACAGAACTTTTCTTAATATTTCTGTGCCAAACTTTCAACATCTTTACCAATGCAACACTGATTTACACTTAGATTTGAAGTTTTTGGACTTTCTTTTTAAGGGACTGTTGGATTGTGTGAAATAAACGGTTTGTTTTTCCCAGATTCATGGAGACGATGCAATTACAGAAATGCACTGCTCTACTTTTATTTTATAATCAGCTGTAAATGGTAAATTAAATGGTCACATTTTTATATAGCTCTATTCCACCTTCAAGGCACTGAAACTCTTTATATTAAATACCACTCACACACTCACACACACATTCACACACCAGGGTGCACACACACTGGGGCGAGGTGGGTTACGTGTCTTGGCCAATTTATTTTATGAAAGATTTAAAAGCCTTTAAAAGTCTGCATCAGTCTGTTAGCTGCAGTAAAATGTGCTCTCCAGCTCTCTGCATCACTGATTTTCAAACTGCCAACACAAAGTTTTTCTAACATAACTCCACAGTCCTGTCAGGCCCTCGCTCACCCATGTCGTTGAGCCAGTAGGCGATCTTCTTGTACACCTCGTCACAGATGGTCACAGTGATGGCCAGCAGGATTTTGGGGATAAATCTGGTGATGCTGGGCAGCTCCTGGATCTCCATCACTACCTCCTGCTCCAACAAAAACATCAAACTTTAATGGACTCGTTTCAGAACTGGATGAAGGCCCACTGCTATTTTTACGCTGGTGTAATGATCCTTACAAATGAGAGAAGAGCTGCTTAAAGGGGACAGACTATGATTTACTCATATTTTTGGACTCCACTTCAGTTTCACAGAAAATGCCTAAATGATGTTTCTGAGTTAGCAGCACGATGATAACAACTAGATGCACTGTACTGATGGAAGTTAAAGTACTTTAATGAAGGACAACTTAACGTGTGTATAGTAGAAATAATTAGAATGAGACTGTTTGTGTACACAGATACATAGAGGAACATGGGACTACCACCTAGTGATGTCACAAGGTGGAATTGACTTTCCAAATGTTTTGATCTTGAGATAAGGAAACCTAAATAAATATGAAGTTTTAGTCAGACACAACTGTATGTTTGTTTTTTATGATGAAATCATATTGGTCAGTGTAACTGCCACGCTGTTCAAAGATGATTCATCAGGATAATACCAAACTTTTATTGCGTTATAAAACATGTGTTGTGTTTCTTGACACCTGTAGCTCCAGACAGAGCAGCATGGCGAGGAAGACAAAGCAGAGGCAGAGGAGGCAGACGGGGAGGCTGACCAGCCACTGGAACAGCGCCCTCTTCCAGGGGGGGTAATAAAACTCCTCACAGCCTGTGATGGGGCTGCAGCGCTTCACCCCCTGAAAAGAACAATACTGCACTTTAGTATTTACTATGTACTACAGACACATTCTTGTTTTGGTTTGTTTTAAAGATCCTATATTATGCAAAATGTGTGTTTTTTTGTTTCATTCACACAGACTGAGTAACTCTTTATTATTAGTCTAAAGTTCAAAATGCTCTGTTCCATCTTATGATGTCATGAAAAAGTAGAAAACAGCTCTTTTTACATTTTGCTCAGTAGACATCGGCAATTCCAGAGCTGAAATGCTCCAAATGATTGTAGTGAAGGTTTATGGAATTTAAAAACACAGTGGAGCACTGTGTATTGCCACATGACATCATATGGTGGAACAGAATGTTTTCTGTTTAAGAGATGAACTCAGACTAAATTTGCAGTTTTGTGATAAAATGTGTAAATGAAACAAAACAGAACATACAATATTACTCTTTAACTTATTCAATAAACCACATTACTTTTGTAACACATTTTGTGTTAAGCTCATTTTGAAAAGTTTAGCGCCCAACGTGGGGCTCGAACCCACGACCCTGAGATTAAGAGTCTCATGCTCTACCGACTGAGCTAGCCGGGCTTGAAAACTTAGTTTCCTGTGAGTCTTTTCAAAGACCCTCTGCCCCTCCTTCTGTCTATTCATATTCACACAGCGGGGGAGGAGTGAGCTGCCTCCCCTCCACTCAGAGCGAGGGGTCAGGGGTCAGAGGAAGCGCGCCAAACAGGAGATCTCATTTCCCTGTATTCATGGAGGAGCCAATCAGGTTACAGAGAGATGACGCAACGAGCCAAAGTGTAGAGCGACCTGCAGCAGCAGGCACACTGCTCTGAACAAACTACACACAACAACTGAAAACAGACGTCCTGTTACTGACGTCTGTGTGTGCTTTACAACTAATGTCATCAACATTCAAACTGTGTGATGCTAACCGTAGGCACTGCTCTGTCAGAAGCTCTATTAGATTTTAATCTGATCTTTATTTCAACACAATGTGAGCAGAAAGAGCTGAGTCAGCTGGAAGTACAACAGTTGATCTGAAGTGTCTCACACACAGTTACAGAACAAGCTACAGCATTACAGTCACTCTCAGCTTTTTGTTGAAACTGAAATGGCTGAAGGGAACCATGAACACTTGCATTTATCACAATGAAAATGTGTTGTTTAAATGAATTTTACATTTCTTGAGTTTTCAGACAATGTTCATATTTAAGACAGTATTTGCTCATGTGTGCATTGTCTGAATGAAACAAAACTCAACGCCTGGTATGTTTTTTTGTTGTTGTTGTTGTTGTTTTTTAATGAGGAAAAACTTAGTTTGATCATAGATCAAAACATTGGGTAATATGAAGCTGATTTAGAATGAGCCCAAAGTGTAACCTGTAACTTTTATAAATGACTACAAATGAAAAGTAGATATCATATAGATTTATTATTGTGCTCACTCTGAACTGCGGCCGTGGCTCCTCCAGTGACTCTGCGGGGGTGTCCAGAGTCCCCCACCTGTAGGCCAACTCTGCCTCTCTCCTCTTCCACCTCTCCAGGAACAACGTGGCCCACACCACATTAAACAGAGCGAAGACGACGCAGCAGATGTCCTGACTCGTCTGACAAGCAATATGCAGAAAAAAAACACATACAAATATTTGATATAGTTTGAAGTGTGATTATAAATTAAATTATTTTCTCTCTAGCTATTTTATGTCTTCTTAAACTTGAATCTTTATCTTATCATAGATAGAATAGAATTACTACTATGAACTTTGTTCACTGACAATGGCAACAAAACTTATTCTGATTCTGAACTTGAATCTATTGGACTTAAGCTTTTTCATTGGTTTAACATCTTATCAATCAAATCATTTTATTCATCCTCAGGGGCAACTTCAAAATAAAGCATAGTATAAAAGTAATTATATAAATAAATATAAAAGTATCTGTTGCAATAATAATAAATAAACATCTAATAATAAAATAAAATAAAATGTAATTTAATTTAATTTAAAACATCAATTGTAACACCTAATTTAATACTTGATAGCACAGGACAGTAGATATAAAGACGAAAGCTTAATACCTGCAAGGCTACGGCAGTTCCATTTTTAGCTCTGAGAAGTTCACACTGACAGAGGAACACCTGGAAACACTCTGTTTTCTGCCTGTTCTGCACTTAGTGTACGTCACACACACAGAGGCCGCTCGGAGCGACCTAAACCTAAAAAAGGAATTCTCCTCTGTTTTACTATTGCCAGTAATGTTATTTAAGAAGCCATCTTGTGCTTTTGTCTGCTTTAGAGTTACAACATGACACCAGTGGATCATTGTGTTATATTCTGGACATTTTAAATCACAATATTCATCTTAAACAATTTCATTGCTCTGCCTGGAATGTTCCACAGTGTGGCATTATACATCTCTACTTCACATTTATTCAATTACAGGTGGTTTTATAGCTCTGAATTACCAAGAAAAACAGGGATTGTGACTGTGAGTGGGGTCGCCTCTCCACAGATCTGACCTGTGACATGGTCTGGTTTGGTCTCCATGAAGATAGAAAGGTTTAATGCCATACTGTGAAACATTCCAGACAAATCAATTACATCTCCATGGAGAAAAGGATTTGAAGGACCCTGCACCAGAAAAGTTACACAATGCATCTTTAATAAAAGAAACACGTCTGCTGAGTTGTGTGTTAGAAAACTGCAGTGCCCAATAGGAGCTGATATTACCGTATATTTCTTCTTATTTTTCTTTTTATTTTATTTTATTTTTTATTTTGGTTGCATTTTGTACCTGATCAGCCTCGGCCAGGATCCACAGCAGGAAGCCGATGACCGCAGGGTACAGCATGGAGTTGGTGTAGAAGCCCAACCAGGCAAAATACATGGAGATCTTCACCCCAAAGTAGTCACAGATGTCATCTACAAAAGATCACAGGAAGTCAACAGTTACGACGGTAAATAGTCACATTTTTTTCCACCTTCAAAGTGCTCAAAGAGTTTTACATCAAGGAACCACTTCCTCATTCACACACCAGTGTACACAGACACTGTGGGCAAGGTGGGTGAAGTGTCTTGCGCAAGGACACAACAACTTTCATCCATGGGACCTGGCATCATACCACCAACCTAATACTTTCATAGTTTCATATTTGTTGGACAAAACCATGCACGCCTACCCTGCCACGCCACGCCTCTGTAGTCAGTTGTCTTGTAAGCAGAACTTCCCATCTCATAGTGACAATATCTATAAAAACCTGCCTGCTCCACCTCAGCTCGTTCCGGAGCGGCCAGGTGCTCCACAATATTAAATGTATATGACGCCCTCTGGGAGGCGCTACTGTGCCCCCAGTAGGATTTACTAACTCCTTTATTCCCTCTGTCTCTCAGCTCCTGAACACAGGTCAAATAGGTTGAGCCGAGTGCCTTTTTTATCCTTTGTTTACACTTCTAATGTTGTTGTTCTGTTTTGTATCTGCCCTTTGCACTTTCTGCCACATCTACACTGATGCTCAGCTCTGATGCCCATCACATTATATGAGCACCTCACCTGAGTGGCATGTATGTGTGTGTGTTTATGCTGTAGTCTGTGACTGCAAACACTTTTATAAACTAAACTAAACTAAACTAAACTAAAAGAAGTTGGACCTATTCTTTCATGTGATCATTTAAAATGAGTTGTGCCCTCGTACACAGGCCATCCATCCATCCATTTTCGTCCGCTTATCCGGGGCCGGGTCGCGGGGGGAGCAGCCTAAGCAGGGACTCCCAGACTTCCTTCACCCCAGACACGTCCTCCAGCTCCTCCAGGGGGACCCCGAGGCGTTCCCAGGCCAGCCGAGAGACATAGTCCCTCCAGCGTGTCCTGGGTCTTCCCCGGGGCCTCCTCCCGGCGGGACATGCCCGGAACACCTCCCGAGGGAGGCGCCCAGGAGGCATCCGGAACAGATGCCCGAGCCACCTCAACTGGCTCCTCTCGACGTGGAGGAGCAGCGGCTCTACTCTGAGCTCCTCCCGTGTGACTGAGCTCCTCACCCTATCTCTAAGGGAGCGCCCAGCCACCCTGCGGAGGAAACTCATTTCGAGCGCTTGTATCCGCGATCTCGTCCTTTCGGTCACTACCCAGAGCTCATGACCATAGGTGAGAGTAGGAACGAAGACTGACCGGTAAATCGAGAGCTTCGCCTTTCGACTCAGCTCCCTCTTCACCACAACGGTCCGATACAGCGACCGCATCACTGCCGAAGCTGCACCGATCCGCCTGTCAATCTCACGTTCCGTCCTTCCCTCACTCGTGAACAAGACCCCGAGATACTTGAACTCCTCCACTTGAGGCAAAGACTCCCCACCCACCCGGAGAGGGCAAGCCACCTTTTTCCGGTCGAGAACCATGGCCTCGGACTTGGAAGAGCTGATCCTCATCCCAGCCGCTTCACACTCGGCTGCAAACCGCCCCAGTGCACATTGCAGGTCCTGGTTCGATGAAGCCAACAGGACAACATTGTCCGCAAACAGCAGAGATGAAATCCTGTGGTCCCCAAACCGGACCCCCTCCGGCCCCTGACTGCGCCTAGAAATTCTGTCCATAAATACAATGAACAGAACCGGTGACAAAGGGCAGCCCTGGCGGAGTCCAACATGCACCGGGAACAGGTCTGACTTACTGCCGGCAATGCGAACACAGCTCCTGCTCCGGTCATACAGGGACCGGACAGCCCTTAGCAAAGGGCCCCGGACCCCATACTCCCAGAGCACCCCCCACAGGACACCACGAGGGACACGGTCGAATGCCTTCTCCAGATCCACAAACACATGTGGACTGGTTGGGCAAACTCCCATGAACCCTCGAGCACCCGATGGAGAGTGTAGAGCTGGTCCAGTGTTCCACGGCCAGGACGAAAACCACACTGCTCCTCCTGAATCCGAGGTTCGACTATCGGCCGGATTCTCCTCTCCAGTACCCTGGCATAGACCTTACCGGGAAGGCTGAGAAGTGTGATCCCCCTATAGTTGGAACACACCCTCCGGTCCCCCTTCTTATACAGAGGGACCACCACCCCGGTTTGCCAGTCCAGAGGTACTGTCCCCGACCGCCACGCGATGTTGAAGAGGCGTGTCAGCCAAGACAGCCCACAACATCCAGAGACTTCAGGTACTCAGGACGGATCTCATCCAACCCCGGAGCCTTGCCACCAAGGAGCTTGCCAACCACCTCAGTGACTTCGGCCAGGGTGATGGATGAGTCCGCCTCCGAGTCCCCAGCCTCGGCCTCCTCCTCGGAGGACGTGACGGTGGGATTGAGGAGATCCTCAAAGTATTCCTTCCACCGCCGGACAACGTCCCCAGTCGAGGTCAACAGCTCTCCCCCGCACTGTAAACAGTGTTGGTGAAGAACTGCTTCCCCCTCCTGAGGCGCCGGACGGTTTGCCAGAATCTCTTTGAGGCCGTCCGATAGTCCTTCTCCATGGCCTCCCCGAACTCCTCCCAGCTCCGAGTTTTTGCCTCCGCGACCACACGGGCTGCAGCACGCTTGGCCCGCCGGTACCCGTCAGCTGCCTCAGGAGTCCCCCGAGCCAGCAAGGCCCGATAGGACTCCTTCTTCAGCTTGACAGCATCCCTTACTTCCGGTGTCCACCACCGGGTTCTGGGGTTGCCGCCGCGACAGGCACCACAGACCTTACGCCCACAGCTCCGAGCAGCTGCATTGACAAATAGAGGCCGAGAATGAAGCCCACTCGGACTCCATATCTCCAGCCTCCCCGGAAATCCGGGAGAAGTCCTCCCGGAGGTGCGAGTTGAAGGTCCCTCTGACAGAGGCTCCGCCAGACGTTCCCAACAGACCCTCACTACACGCTTGGGTCTGCCAGGTCTTTCCGGCTTCCTCCTCCGCCAGCGAACCCAACTCACGACCAGGTGGTGATCAGTTGACAGCTCAGCCCCTCTCTTCACCCGAGTGTCCAAGACACGCGGCCGGAGATCAGATGACACGACGACAAAGTCGATCATCGACCTCCGGCCTAGGGTGTCCTGGTGCCACGTGCACTTATGAACACCCTTGTGCTCGAACATGGTGTTGGTTATGGACAAACTGTGACTAGCACAGAAGTCCAATAACAAACACCACTCGGGTTCAGATCGGGGAGGCCGTTCCTCCCAATCACCCCTCTCCAAGTGTCACTGTCGTTGCCCACGTGGGCGTTGAAGTCCCCCAGGAGAACAACGGAGTCCCCGGTCGGTGCACTGTCTAGTACCCCTCCCAAGGACTCCAAGAAGGCCGGGTACTCTGCACTGCTGTTCGGCCCGTAGGCCGACACCACAGTGAGAGACCTGTCCCCGACCCGAAGGCGCAGGGACGCGACCCTCTCGTTCACCGGGGTGAACTCCAACACACAGCGACTGAGCTGTGGGGCAATGAGCCCACACCAGCTCGCCGCCGCTCCCCGCGGCCAACGCCAGAGAAATGGAGAGTCCAGCCCCTCTCAAGGAGTTGGGTTCCAGAGCCCAAACTGTGCGTGGAGGTGAGGCCGACTATATCTAGTCGGTAACGCTCAACCTCCCGTACACAGGCCTATATAGTAAAAGTAGCTCTTAAGGTTAAAATGAGACCTCTGTGTGTTGTCTGCATCTCAATATAAAGATACTGTATCATTCATGGAGCAGTGACTGAGGCTGAGGTGCTGTTAGCATGATAGTAGTTGTCAGCATTTGCACCACAGCAAACCTCCACACTGACAGTGAAAGTGCTTATAAACTCTCTGTGGTGAATAATCAGGCTGCTCTGGATGCCTTAGGAAAGTGAGGAACAACTCTGGAGCACTGCAAACCTGCACAACACTGAGCAACATTTCCACTACCTGCTCGTCTCCATGGAGATGTTATTGCTTTACCTGGAATGTTCCATGGTGTGACTTTAAACATATTCATCTAAGCATTATACATTACAGGTGTTTCTATTGCTCAAAAAATTGCTCAAAAGCGTAGTGCTGCTTGTCTCCTCCTTGATAAACAGGTTTAATCTATACTGTGGAACATTCTAAGTAAAGCAATAATGTTTCCATGGACACAAGCAGGTGGATGGTAAATATTACACAGTGCACCTTTACATTTGTTGTAGTAAATGATTGTTGTTGTTGCTTGGAGGAGGCCGTACCTAAAGGCTGACGCTCACACACCGCTTGGACCCAGGAGGTCATGAGCTGGTTCAGGATCCTCTGTTCATGAAGAGGGAACATCTGATGGATCACTCCTCTGGCCACCAGCTCTGGAACTGGACAACCACAACTTCAGATTACAAAATGTCTTATAATATTTCCTTAACAATGAGAATTTCGATGGACGGTGTTTTCAGAGTGTGCGTAAGTGAAGTCTGAAGAGGAGCGTACTGATTGGCTGTCCCTCCAGGAAGTTGATGTTGTGAAGCACCTCCCCCTGCTTGGCTCTCAGGTTGTCCAGCCAGTATTTAATGATGCTTTGACGCTCCTGAAGACAAAACAAAATCAAATAAAAAGCAAAGAATGCATTTTTGTATGGGCTGAGTTTGTTTAGTTAGTGAACTTAAAGGGCCCACGTGACGCTATTTCCTGATCTATGTCATAATGTTGTTTCCTCATCACAAACAGACCTGGAGTTGTGTTTTGCTTCATTCACACACAAACCCTGCACACTCTGTTCCACCTTGTGATGTCCTGGCATAATATAGGAAGTGCTCCACTATGTTTTTAAACTCCATACACCTTCAATAGAATCATGTGGATTAGGGATGGGCATTCAATGAAATTTTCTTAATCGATCGTTGGAAGAATTAACGATCGATTATTGATTAATCATTAACGTTTTTATATTAAAATGATCATCATTATTATTACTATCTGCACTAATCTGCATAAATAAATTCAACTTTACGACATATAAACCGTAACGACTCTATAGCCACATCAGTCCGTTTGACATTATAATGTGTTTAATTCAGTTTTGTTCAACTCTCACAGAAACAAAACTTAAAACCCCATCGCTAATTTGCATAAACTAAGCGAAGATAAAACTACAGCTCTTGTGTCGCTGATGCAGTTCAATTTCTGTCGGATTAAAAGACATGACTCAGGTGAATACAGGTTAGTGTGACCAGATTTGTGTTTGTCAAAACCAGGACACCGTAGGGGGGAGGGAGGTGGGGAATCGTCACCTGGTAAAACTTTTTCCCACTGGACACCGAAACATATGTGCTGCTTTATACACTGTGCACATGGACTCACACTTGTCCCGAACGCAACGGAAAGCGTGGAATTTCTTGTACAAGTCAACGTTAAATACACATTTGTGCTTCGGTACGTTGCAGACTGACCCACTGTCTGTGTCTCGCTCCTTCTGATGCAGAGACACATGTACAGACCCTGTTTGGTCACGCTACACACAGCAACCTACATTCGGTTTGTCGATTAAAATTAAAAACGTAATCAATGAAATTCTTAATGATCAATTATCGATTAATCGACTAATCATGCCCATCCCTAATGTGGATCATTTCAGCCCTGGAAGTGCCAATCTCTACTGGACTATGGTTACATTTACACTGAAACGAATCACTGTATCAATGTATCTGAAGCAATTTGCGTCCAGACACGCCATTTCTGTGTCCGCAGTCCTTCTCTATCCACACAGGTTTGAGCATGTTTGTTTACGTTTTACAGAAACAAAAACTTAAAACCACATGACTCATTTGCATAAACTGAGCTAAAAAAAACAGTTCACTATTGTGCACTGATGTGGTTCAGCTTCTGTTGGACTAAAGGACACGACTCAGTGGAATCTGAGTGTTCTTTCTGTGACAGAGGGGTGTTCTGCTGATGGTGAGTCTGTTCTGTGTTTCTGTCGTGTTGGAGATGGTTCATGTGAAACTTTTCAGAGATTATACGTCTGCAGGTCGTACACACAGACACACGTTTATATGAATGGACACATATTCTAGCCTCTTAGTGTTTTGGAGGTGAATTACTTCGCGGTGCACAGACCTACATCAGAGTATCAGTGTTTTCAGGCGTCCACACAGTGCTGGATCAGATCTGTACTCAGGTGAATTTGTGGGAGCTGGAGGCACCAGATCGTTCCCTCTCTGGAGCCATTTTCCATCGGATTAATGTGAACGAACACTGCATCCGCAACGAAAACGACTCAAATGCGTACTAGTGTGGATGGGGCCTAAAGGTAGCTGTTAACATGAAAACTCCGACTACATGACATCACAAGGTGGAACAGAACATTTTGAGCTTTGAAGATGTAGACAGACTAATAATAAAGGATTACTTAAACATGTGTGAATGAAACAAAACACAACTCCAGGACTGTTTTTAATGAGGTAACAGCATTAGAAGAGGCCTTAAACCTCAGTCAATTAGGACCTTCATATTTGTATATTTTCTGTATGTATGAAATGTAGAAAGAAGCAAACATAAAGAAAAACTACATTTGTGATGGTGTGTCCAAACTTTTGACTGATGCTTTTGTTTTTTGTTTTTGTTCCTTTCTGACCTGTGAGGTGAAGAAGCAGAGCTCACTGTCGATGTTCTCGTAGATGTTGTCTTCGTCACAAGAGAAGCGCCTCATGCCTCCTCCAAATTGGGGCTTGACGGCCTTGTGCATCCCCATCTGCTCCGCCCCTCTCAGCAGGCTGGGCCGGAGCACACAAGAGCAGCCGGATTAACAACGGGACAGATGTTCAGGAGATTAAACATAGATCCGTGATAAATGAGATGCAACTACAGAGAGATGAGCTTTTCTACAGCTGATGTGCTCATGTTTATTTCACATTCGCACGTTGTCGGCAAAATGCAAGACAACACAAAATGAAGATATATTGGAATTTCTTAAATTGAGAGATACAGGACTACATTTATGCCATACTCTTTACAGCTGTGCAAAAACTCACCCCTATGTAACAGATAATACTCCCTACAATTATAAAACAACTCACCTTCATGTAACAGATAATACTCCCTACAACTATAAAACAACTCACCTTCATGTAACAGATAATACTCCCTACAACTATAAAACAACTCACCTTCATGTAACAGACAACCCTATGTCCTGTCAATCATCATGTCATTTGTACTGTTTTCCTTACGTATGTCTTAGGTATAATTCACAGGAACACAAAGATCTCAAGCCCGGCTAGCTCAGTCGGTAGAGCATGAGACTCTTAATCTCAGGGTCGTGGGTTCGAGCCCCACGTTGGGCGCTAAGCTTTTCAAAATGAGTTTAACATACAATGTGTGATGAAAGTGATGTGGCTATAGCTCAGGTCCTCTACCAGAGGGCTGGGAGTTCTACGCAGTATCTTTGCTGTTCCCAGTACTGCACCTTTCTGGACTGAGGTGTCTGTTGTAGCCTGTTCCAGCCCCGAGTGCTCCAATCACCACAGGTGCCAATGATGCATTCTCCAGCTCCTCCTTGAGCCCCTGGTATTTCTCTAGTTCCTTTCTGCTTATATTACCATCACTTGGTATTGCGATGTCCACCATCACTATGTCTGGTTGTTTCGCCATCACCATCCTGTCAGTCTGCATCTGGAAGTCCCACAGGATTTTGGCTCAGTCGTTCTCCACAACCTTTGGAAGTCTTTCCCACCTTGACAGATGTTTCTGTCCACTATGCAGGTATTTGACTGTAGCCGCTTTCTTGTGAGATACCACTTGGGTGCCTCTGTACTGTCCTTCAAGCCATTGGTAGGATTTCTTGATATCAGCCACTTACGCTCCGCTGGTAAACAATACCATGGTGGGTATTGTATCTCATGGCTCCCGTGGTTGCTCTTATAGCCCAGCACCTCTAGGTATTGTAATATCCATTTCTCCTACATCCTGTTCATCTCTAACAGAGCACACACTGTAGCACAAAGCGTCTTGCCCAAGGACCCACACTAGTTAGCTCATTGCCCCATCGGGGGGAATTCAAACCCAGGTCAAAAGTCCAGTGAATGAACTAAATGAAAGCCTATTGACTTACTAGCTGAGCTAACCAGCTGCTTGTGAGTGCATGTATATAAATATACACACACAAATGTATATATAATTTTTAATTCTGCCTTATTTGACACCAGTCTCTTGCTATTTTTTACTACTTATTTAGAATTTATTATTACCATTTACATTTTCTACTCTTTGTTATTATATTATATTGTGATGTGTGAGCTCCTGTGTCCAAATCATTCTCCTTGTGGATCAATAAAGTTTGTTTCACTCATAAATATTTTATGTGAACATGGCAACTACAGTTTTGAAATGAACTTATTTCCCCACATTTTTAGACAGTAAAAATCAGATACAGCGCTTTGTCCATGGGTCTTTACTACGTCACTAAAGATTTTATTTGTATTAGCAATATATAAGTTTTATACCAAGAAGTTGTACATGAAGGCTGACGCTCGTATATATTTATATATTTATATTTGAATCGTTGAATGAAGGAAATACGTTTCAAAATAGTTTAATTTCTCAAAGATTGTGATGAACAGAGGTAGGTGATAATGCTTTTGTCCTCTTACTTCTCAAAGGAGGTGGTAATGAAGAAGGCGTTGGCCTGCGTGTGCTTGTGCTGCCGGACCTGGATGTTGACCTGAGGGACGCCCACTCGGATCTGATTCAACAGCCACAGCAGTGTGTGGTCGTCAATACTATCTGCAACAACAACACAGGAAGAATCAGTGAGTACAATCAGCTTACACCAGTCGTCTCAAAACATTTTTGACCAAGGACACTGTAGGAGCCAAAATTGAAAAAAAAAAAAAAAGTAATAATAATCCAAATAATAATAACTAGGTGACATGTGCAGTTTATGTGCTGTATCCATTTCCTTATATTTTTACAGTGATTTGTGCAGACCTGCACTGGGGAAAACCAAAAAACTAAGCAGTCAGGAGGCAGACAGCAGTGGGTCATCTTCACCTCTACAATTCTGTATTGGTAGAATTATTTCAATTTGCCATAAAAAAGGGCCAGAGAGCCAACAGAAGCATGTCCAGTTCTGAACAATCCTATCTTACACACACTGTCTGGTGTCTTTTTATGTCCACAGCACATTAAACTAAATTTGACTAAGGAAAAAAAGAATAATACTTTAATTGCAAACACCAAAACTTTATGGTAACCCTCCCCTTCTCTTGCACACCTGCTCTGTTTTATTTGAGAATTTTCAAAGCCATCCTCCTTTGGGTTACAGATTGTAACGAAGCAGTCAGATAGTCTGGACATATAGTGATCTCTGTGATGTGTTTGTACCTGGGAAGGTCATGAGGATGTCACAGTTCTCGGTGGGCACCATCTTGAGCCAGGACTTACGGGACATGATGTAATGACGAGCCTGCAGCAGACGCTTCCCAAACAGTTTATCTGAAAACACATGAAGCACACAGAGAGACAGTCACAAACAGAGATGTGTAAAAATATCAATATACCGTGATATTAAATTTGGTAATACAGTATGGATATCGTGGGCTGCTGTATCGATATATCGCAGGGAGTAGTTTTGATATCTTTTAGTATGTTTTTGTGTTGGAAGGAAACTTGTTTCTGCAATACACTTGACATATTCACTTTTAAAATAGATATATTTTATATTAAAGGTACATTGTACTTTTCTGGTGTAACGTCCATTACATGTTTGTTTCTAGAGGTCAGAGGTCAGTGTGTGGCCAGCTGAGGTGTTTGACTCTGTCTCTGTCTCTGGAAACGGGACGTTTCCACTCGCAATGCATTTTCTGTCTGACTGTATCATGACCTGCACTGTCAGTTGTTGTCTAATGTATCTTATAGTTTGTTGCTGTGTCTTATGAGGAGAGACTGGAGAATTTGTTTAAATGTAATGTTTTCAAGTTGGCTCAGTTTGTGTTGAAAGCCTGGGACCTCCGTAACATCACACTTTATGTTTGATGAGTGATCTGTCTGCTTATTGTTTAATGTGTCTTAAGCTCATGCAGGCTCGGCACCAACTAAATGCTGCATGAACTAAATAACTCAAATAAATTAAACTAAACTAAAACTCTATGGACATGTCATTGCTCTGTCTGGAATGTTCCATGGTATGACATTAAATAGCTCTACTTTACATTTATTCAATTACAGGTGGTTTATAGCTCAAAAAAACTTAGAAAAACACAGTAGAAACCTACTGTGAGTGGGGTCGTCTCTCCACAGATCTGACCTGTAACTTGGTCTGGTTTGTCTTCATGAAGATAGAAATGTTTAATGCCACACTGTGAAACATTGCAGACAAAACAGTAACATGTCCATGGAGAAAAGATCTGACAGATCCTCCACCAGAAAAGTTACACAATGCACATTTAACTTTGCACAAGTAGTGTCTTAACAAAGAAATTGTTGCTAAAATGTGTTTGGTTCATTCATTATATCAGAGTATCATGTGTAATATATATTGAGTATGACATGTATATATTGTGTATTCTTAATCTGTAAAAAAAAAAAGCTGAAATTGTGTCACCTTTGAAATGTGAACTTTTTTGTCAACAAGCAACTGTCACTTGTACCAAAATGTATTGACCAAAATGCTTTATGACATTAATAAGTCTCAACGTGAAAATCCTGCAAGTCCAAGTCCACAAGCCTTAAATATAGTTTCAATCTGAGTTGAAAATAGCCTAAAACAATATATAATATTTATTTTTTGCAATCAAAACTCAAAATTAAAGTATGATCCTGAATTTTGTGGTTAAAAAGAGTCTAACACACAAGTTAAGCCCATTTCCACTTTCACAGCACTCAAAGCACTTCATATTAAAGAGGCCATATTACACTAATGTTTATTACACGAGGATGTATTTATTTATTTGTTTATTTCATTCATAAAGTATAAAAAGACATTAACAGTGTCCTAATACAAGAAATGAATGAAAAGGAGCAGAAAGAAGAGTCATCTTATGATATCTGTCCTCTCTTCCCTTTTCCAAACATTCAATATATTAACACTGACAGTTACTATAAACATTTCAAAACAATACATTTCATTTCAATCACAAATATTAATCAGCTGCTTAGTTTTCTTTTTCATACTGCATATTTTCATATTGCACTGGATTTGATATATTTTTAAAATGTCACTTGATTCTTTTATTTCTTTGTCAAGACAATTCCATAAATGAACTCCTTTCACAGCGATGCTTCGCTCCATAACCTTAGTTCTGAATTTGTTTTTTTAAACATGTAGGTTCCTTTTAAATAAGAACCTAGATGAATACAAAAGGTAGCTTGTTCTCCTCTCTTTGAATATTTACAGGTAGTACATTGCACTTTGCTTAGTATGAACCATGCAGCTCATAGCCTGACACAGAAGTTCTCCACATGCTTCCATCTGAACCATCAGCTCGTTTTATGGATCAGTTTCCTCGCTAATAGATTGCACAGTTTTGATAAACAATACAGTGTCGGATGTTGCCCACACGTCTGCGGGCCTCCCCCAGGGGTGTCTTTTATCTCCACTTCTGTTTATCTTACACTTTGATAAATGCAGATCAACTCAGCCAAACTATTATTTGGGTAAGTTTGTTGACGATATTATTCTGCTGTCTCTGGTCTCTGCTCCATCTTCGTGCCATGGCCCTGGTCTGTGAGAGTTCACATGATGTGTGTGAAGCTCCTGTTTAGAGCTCTACATAAACAAAACAAAGCACATGACTCTGGCATTTTCAAACATGCAGAGACAGCTCGCAGAGGCCGTCGCTTCCACCATCAGGGGGAGTGTAAATGTCTCTGAACTATTTCTGATGCATTGTGAAAACTTTCATCAAACACAGAAGAGCTCTTGAAAAAATGTGACCAGAGACGGCACCTTTTAAGGACAATAAGGTCATGTGATGTCAGTAAATGTTGTCAGTAAATGATGTTGACCTTTTACCGAGTCTTTGCCGAGAAATTCAGATCTGAAATTTAACAAAGGCTTATTTTGATATTCTAACAAATGACAAAAGTGAACTACTGTTAGCTTCAACTCACAAGATAGGAGGGATTACTAATATCGAAACTAGATACTCATTTGAGCACGTATTGATACTACAAAGTCATGTTCACAGGACAGAAATGAACCTTTCCTGAAAAAGTTTAGAATGATCTTGAGCTATTTCAGAACAAGTATAAGAGCACCAGTGTTGGGAAGGTGACTTTTAAAATGTATTCCCCTACAGATTACAGATTACATACCCCAAAATGTAGTTTGTAACATAATCCATTAAATTACTTAAAATGAGTAACGTAATACTGAATACTTTGGATTACTTGATTTGTTGTAGAGAAGCAAAGACGAGGAAATGTTAAAATAAGATGTTTTGTCTGCTAAAAGACAATAAAAAAGTCCAGTCTTTACCTAGCCAAATTAAAAATATTATTGATAGAAGAGGAGGAAACATGGTCCATGCAGCATGATTTAGTCCTGTTAAATCCTGATTTAGACCTGGTTTAGTCCTGGTTTAAACCTGGTTTTAGTCCTGGTTTAAACCTGGTTTTAGTCCTGGTTTAAACCTGGTTTTAGTCCTGGTTTAGTCTTGGTTTAGACCTGGTTTAGAGCTAGTTTAGACCTGGTTTTAGTCCTGGTTTTAGTCCTGGTTTTAGACCTGGTTTGGACCTGGTTTGGACCTGGTTTAGGGTCCGGCAATGAGTGGAATTACCGGGGGGAAAAAAAAAGAAAGAAAAGGGATATAGCCCGAAATGTGAAAACAGGAAAATACCTCTGTGTAATCCATTTATTTCAACAAAGTAACTGTAATCCAATTACCACTCACTGAAACAGTAACTGTAACTGAATACAGTTACTTATAATTTGTACTCTGATTACGTAACTCTGGTACATGTAATCTGTTACTCCCCAACACTGAAGAGCACATATGGACCTCACTGAGGAACTACCGGACTACATAGTAATACAAAAGAAAGTACTATGATTTAATGTTGAAAATCCCACTGTATTATCTAAATGATCGTGGTATCAGAATCACCACAACACCACGATGACAAAGCAACTCCTAATGTTTTCCAAAGGCTGACTGTTCCTTGAGTTAGTGAAAGTGCTGCTAGTCCTCAGGGACATTTAACCGAAAGAAGCCAAATATAAAAGCTTCATGGAGGCTATCTGAGCCACTTCACTCACTGCGTTTTGCCAAAAATAGTACACAATTGAACACTGCTTCAAAACTACATGGCAACAGGCCTAGTGTAGCTCAGACTAGTGTTACATCGCCTCATTGTCAGTTTTGGAGTTGTATTTGCAGTGTTGGTTTCTTCCTGTTTCACACATGGGGAGTTTGTGGACGCTGACCAAGTCTCACTGTCTGAGCCACAAAGGACTGGTCTTTTTACATTCACACCAACACAATTAAACCCCATTTTAAAAGCAGAAAACATGTCTGCAACTCAGCATCACCTCTTATAGCTGTCATTTTGTGTATAGTGAAGTATGCTGTGTTCCCGTAGCCCTTCTATCTCTGAATACATGGCAGATAAAGTTTGATATCTGAACATGTAAAGGTCCTATATTATGCTAAATTAACTCCTGTGAGCTTTTAGCCATGTTAGAATGTTGTTACCTCAACAAAAACATATCTGGAATTGTGTTTTGTTTCATTCACACATCTTTCCAAACCTCAAAATGCTCCAAATGTTCCACCTTGTGATGTCATGAAGCCATTACACTGTCACCACTAGTACATATCTGAGTCATATTCGAGTTGTTTTGGTTGTGGATGCAATATTCATTCACACTAATCTGATGGAAAACGGCTCCAATCTGGTGCCTCCAGCTCCCACAAATTCATCTGAGTACAGATCTGATCTGGTACTGTGTGAACGCCTGAAAACACTGATACTCTGATGTAGGTCTGTGCACCGCGAAGTAATTCACCACCAAAACACTAAGAGGCTAGAATATGTGTCCATTCATATAAACGTGTGTGTGTGTGTACGACCTGCAGACGTATAATCTCTGAAAAGTTTCACATGAACCATCTCCAACACGACAGAAACACAGAACAGACTCACCATCAGCAGAACACCCCTCTGTCACAGAAAGAACACTCAGATTCCACTGAGTCGTGTCCTTTAGTCCGACAGAAACTGAACCACATCAGCGCACAATAACAAGCTGTTTTTTTTGAGCGCTTAGTTGATACAAATGAGCCATGCGGTTTTAAGTTTCATTTCTGTAAAACATAAACAAATATGCTCAAAGTTGTGTGGATAGGGAAGGACTGCGGCCACAGAAACGGCATGTCTGGACGCAAATCATTTCTGATACGGTGACACGGTGATTTGTGTCAGTGTAAACATAGTCTTAGTTTAGTTTGGCAATTCCAGGTCTGAAATTATCCAAATGATGCGAGTGTAGGTGT